AGATCAGAGCCGAAATTGAATCCCGGCAGAGACGAGGCAGCTTAGCCAATATGCCTACAGGCGATGAATTGAAGGCTGCCGTCGAAGATAAAATAGGCCGAAGGCATTAATTAGCAATGCGATTCTCACGCTAGTTGCTTATAGTTGATTATAACCAGCTGGCTAGAGTCCCCATGTCACGTCGATCGAGCAGCTTAATATTCAGTCGCTATTGGAAGAGTTTATGATTGTATAGATTTGTTATCGTTTGGGAGAAATAGTTGGGCCTCACGCTGTTCGCTTGCGATGGGTGTCCGTTCTTGGATGCTTCCTTCCGGCCACCCTACCCCTCCATGGCGTTATTATATAAGATCCTATTCCTATATTTTTTTTTCTTCTTTTTCTTGTGGCGTTATCAGTAATTCTGACTCACTTTTGGATCCATCTTGAGTTGAAACGTCGACATGTCTGCATATAAGTCCATTTATAGAACATAATCCTAATGCAAATACCTATCACGTAGATAGTGAGGTTGTGCATGCCTCCGTGTATACTCGTGGCTCTGGTTGGTTCGATGTGTAAATTGTTTAGTCTCGAATTCATAATGAAGGCATGTATACATAAATACATGATCGAAGAGAATATACAAATATTTATATAACAAACAGGACATATATCCATAATCTGTCGTAAAACCCCAATTAATCCAGCGCTGCGTGCTCCAGACATAGACTTCCCCTCAATCTACTGATATCTGGAAAGTCGTCCGACAAAGAGCACAAACACATAATAGAATTAAGGTCGAAAGCGAATGATAAAGAAGCATTATGCGCATCACGTCGTGCAGTCGTGTCGAGTAATATAACCGGGCAGGTCCAAGCAGCCAAAGCGAAGTAGAAAGGTTAAGGAAGCGGCGAGGGTATCAAAAGGCGGAAAGGAGGCAGCGAGAGGTAAGGTAGAGTTGAAGAAACCGACTCCCAGGAAGCAATAATAAGGATCGAAGTCCGATCCAGTCGAAGAGGTCAAAAAAGAAGAAGAAAAATAGCAACTAGCATGGCCTGTGGACAAGGCCGAAGGACAGGTTGTAGCGCGTTGATGACACTAGAAGCCCACCTTCGTTCCCACAACAGCCAATGTGATCTGCAACGAATGTTAGCAAGAGTGATTGGCACACGCGAAAGAATGCCCACAATTATGGTAATGATCACCAGTCCCAGAGGAATCATCCATCGATTAAGATTCCTCCACCACCTAGCGTTTTCGTACCGTTTCCGTTCAAGGTCGAGAACTCGCATTTGAAGTGTCTTTTCACGTCCGGGCTCACTATCTTCCTGCAAGAGCATTTCCGGTTTAGAGGGTAAGGGAAGAAAGGCTGCTATGAGCCAGGCTGAAAGAAAAATAAGTAAGCACCAAAGCTGCGATTTCCATGTTCGGGTACAAATTGGCACGTACCAAGTGGGAATATGAATCCCAAGCAAAAAGACCATACTTGAATATTTCTGCGTCCGAGGAAAGGCTCTGCTCGGGAATCCATAGACGGAGCCCCCCATGCACTCCCTCTCGGGCGAACATTACGTCTATCGGGGTACAAATGCGGGGACCAGCTGTGTCGCAATTGATGGCGGGAGTGTCCGGGTCTCTCTGCAACCTCGGGGCCCTTCACCCAATGGCTCCGAGGGTCGCGTGGGTCAGGTTTGCTCATCCATCGTATGCTTTGTCCCGTTTCGTTGGTGCGTGTTCTCGGGCGAGTAGCGGCGGTCGTTAAACGATGGAGCGGGTTGGAGGTGGGAGTTGTCGGACGTGCTGAGGATGGACGACTGCCTTCCACTAAAGAAAGTGCAGAGCCCACTGGTTGCCCATAGTACATTTTAGCCCAGGTAGGCAGCACATTGAAGGCGAAGCTCGAACTAGTACCTGGTCGCTTTGTACTGCGAACACTGCTCTGTCTCGATCCGGATGAGTGGCTACTCGGTACCGCTGGGTTTGCAGGACGGGCTGGAAGACTGGAAACATCGTCCAAGTATTCATCTCCGTCTGTACTATTGATTAACCACACTGAAGAAGACGTCGGTCTCTGACGGACATGCGCCGCAGTAGGCCTAGATGGCTCCAGAGTGTTCTCGGCACGATCGGCCGGAGAAGCTGACCTCGAATCATACTCAGCAGACCATCGAGACGTGACTGTAGACAAATGCGATTTAAAGTGCTCTGACGCACCGTCCGCCGTGGTCTCGTGCTGGGTGTTGTCCAGTGAGTCTGCAGAGTGCGAGACGTCTACCCTTGAGCTCGCCGACGATGGCGCATGGATGGTTGGATATTGCAGAAATACGCCGCTATCCACAATCGCTTGAATATCTGAGGATGGATCGCTGCGTGAGGAAGAAGTAACGGACCGAGAGTGGCTCCGTTCACGTGCGCGGGTGGAATTTGAGCGCGCTGATGGCCCTTGATAGGGCGGATTGGAACGAAAGGAGTAAGACCGTGAGCTTGACTGTTCAGAAGACGAGCCATGGGTCCAGGGAGCGGCTCCTATATACCTGATCACAGTCCCCAGTGAATTCAGAGAGGAAAGCGAGTTTGACCGAGAGCCACTATCTGGGTTGGATGATGCACCGATTGGGACGAAATTCAAACTTGAACTGTCAAGCGCAACAAAATTCGGACTGGATGACGGCCCAATTGGTACTACATTGGGACTAGAATTGCTCGATGCAGCATTTGCAGGGTGTGGCGGTTGACCGGATGACGTGTCGGAAACTACAGTCTTGATTGTTGGAGCAGCTCCCGGTAGCGTATTTGGTTCCTCGTCTGAGTACAAAACATCATCCGACTTGTAATCGACTTCTCTATGCTCTGCGGGGCCAGGTTCTGGAAAAGAGGATTTGCTGGAGGCAGGGTCATCCTCCCATACCTGAGGTGGAGTGTTTGCAGCGTCGAACGTCGAAGATAAGTCCCATGGATCACCAGTAGATTGCTCAATCAAACTGCTGTCTAGAATATGACTGATCTCTGTTGATAGTGTCGCACTGGATTCATTCGGCATCTCTTCAACGTGGAACCTAGAATCTGGGTTGAACTCTTGACCTTTCCCTGGTCGTGGCAAGAGGATATGTTCTGGTTTGGTCGGATACGGAGTTGCCGTGTAAACATCGCATTCGTCCTCCTGGCCACTGTGCTTGTCACTAACAGCTCGTAGGGACTGTGCTGGTGAAACCTCGTTCGTTTGAGAAGAAGTGCGCTCATGAAGAGCCCTCCGTCCTGGAGACGAGATAGTTGAAGATCCAGTTGAGCGCATGTTGTTGGGGTGATGATTAGTTCATTATCAGGAAGTACCAAAGTTGCAGAAGTGTTTATGATATGAAGAAGGGGGTCACAAAAACAGGTGTCTCTATTCAATAAAGAAAAGAAAGAAAAGAAAAGAATAACAAAAAAAGCAAAAAAAAATCCTAAGTTCCAAGCTTAAGATCGTAGAATGGTAAAAGTGAAAATAAAAGCGATCAATAATGTCAATGGCTGCTTGTCAAGACGTAAAAAGAACGACAGCAGATTTGGTCTATGAAGCAAGCGATCGACGACTGCTGTTGTTGTTTTGTTGTTGGTCTATTATTTTTTTTGTGATGCAATAAAGAATGTCTCGACACACAAGCGACGTCAAATGAGCGACAGGCGCGTCCAACGGGACGTAACAATAAAGGAGCGTGGCGCCGGCAGTTGAAGAATCGTGGGAAGTTAGATTAGCTGAGTCATGCCGACCGTGGAAAAGAGAGCGTTGAACCGAGACCAAAGAGCACCGAAAAACGTTTCCAAAAGAGCGACAAAATCCTGAACGACTGGAAGAGAGAAATCCAAGACCTGAAACGAGGCAGTAATGCAAAGCAGGCCCCAGTGGTAATATTTAAGCAGCCCCCAGAATTTTGTTGTCTAGCGGCGGTGAACGATGTGAGCCTAAGGTCTGGAACAGGAAACGGATCCGTCCAGGGGCATGCAAGCTGCACGCTCTAGAGCAGTATCTGAAACAGCTCGATTAGTGGGGGGAATTAAGAAAAAGAAAAGAGGTAGGAATTGACCTGCAGTTCGTCGATCGCGTGAGAAGGTAAATGGCCCGCGCAACTCGCTAGGAGGTCTGGATCGCTTGTTTTGCATCGGAAGGTCCTTCGTCATTAGGCTCTAAAACATGTGGCGATCTTCAAGATCTAATTATAAGAATAATTCATAATTCGCTATTCTCAACACCGTCACAAATAGTGAGCCGAGTGATCCGGAAATTAGGAGTGGAATTCGAGGCTCGAGGTCATTTCGCTTGGTGTTGATCCGGTTGACACTAAGAGTGGAGGGGCTTAAACACTTCAGCCCAGTGTTAATGTTGGGGGTCAAAATTCGGAGGGCGCAACGAAATCCAGTTGGCTGGCTAGTATTAGTGAGGGACATATGCAAGGCCCCTCTACTGTGCATTCAGTGTTGCATTCGTACGCAGCAGCATGTCTCTGTATGCTGTAGGGATCTCGTCACATTATCCCAAAGCCTAAAGCCTCTTAGTAAGTCTCCACGAGGATGGCCGTCCCGATTGTGACCAATCCGAACGGTGGAGTTCCAGGCTTCGGGGAACAAAATGAACCGGAGGTCGATCCACTACGGCAACTGTGGCTGAGCGAGTCAGAGTAGGCCGAGGTTTCCAGAATGTCTCATTGGTAGCAGAAAGGGGGAAATTGTCTCTTTGTCAATTCGTGCAGGCCAATAATCGCACGAGACTCGCCGTAAATCCAGACGAGACAAAGCGAAGGATCGTCCCAGAGCTGCCAACTCAGCAGAAGTGGGGTCGGTCAGGTTGACGGCGTTATTGAACACGAGTTACCGTTGTAACTTAAACGATTTCGCCGACGAATTGTGAGACGGAACAATGCATCTAAAGGATAGGGATATGGCAGATGAGGGGCGAGATTCCATTCCAATGCATTGGATACTTCATTGTAAAGAGGAACGTTGAAATAGAATTCGGATTGTAGTTCCCTTGGGTCCAGTGACCGTACTGTATCCACGGCGCATCATAAGAGGTGATCCAGCGGTACATGAAAGTCTTGTGTGTAGTGTTAATGCCTTCAGAATCAGGCAAACAGCAACAAACTTTTGTTTTCTTTGTCTTTCTTTTTCCCTTTTGTCCATCGATTATCATCGTTAACGACCTCCAGGAGGATCGTCATTTCAACACCCCTGATGCACTTTGCTACATTACGTAGTCAAGATCTTGTTCATCAATTTGATACATTGTTCCTCCAACATCGGGCTCGCTCAGTAATTCTACCGCCGACGTCAAGCTATCGGTAAGCTCAGGTAGATAGCTATGGCACCTATCAATATCCTGGCGCACCTTAAGACGCTCTACGCCAAAAGTTACGGTAGGCCCGGCAATCAGAAATGATAACGTTTACCTCTAACCGTTCGTCTTCAGATGAACCGGTCATTTCGGCCCAGACGGCAGCTTTCTTTTCGGTAGGCATCTGCTCCCGTCTTAGCGCTTCCCCAAACAAACATCTATAAAAATAGCATCATTGTAACCTAGAAAAGGGGCAACTTTCACCCCCTAAAAGGCCTCTCGTTTTTACAGCTGATGAGCATAGTTCGTTTCAGAATTAGCTAACAAAATCTTGCAGATCTGCCTAACATTAGTCTATGTGGTTCCATTCTATGTCACTTCTAGCACTCGACCATCTCCCACCCTCAGCCGAGATGCACCGTCCGTGATCCGGGCTAGAATTAAGGCTGTGACTCTGTCTTGCATCGGGAGCACCGTTGCTGTCCTATGGCTGATCATCGCCAAGGGCAATGTCTCTCTGTTTGAGGCACTGAGGTTTCTTGGGTGGTGGCCCGTAGGATTCGCGGATGTTCTTCGCAGTTTGTTGCTAACCACCATTTTGTTCGCCGGGCCCCTCTTCGAGCGAGGGATTGCCGAAGGTGAGTGGAGAGATTGGATCAAAGGGAACAGGATCTCCGAAACCCTTAGCGGGTGGATTGGATGGAGAAATTACGTCGCTGTGAGTCAAATCCAAAGGCCCGGATCTGATAGCTAGCCTTCAACTCACAATATACATATCTACAGGGTCCGGTCACTGAAGAGGTCATGTTTCGCTCCGCCATCATACCTCTTCATATACTCGCCAAGGTATCTCCGGGGCACATCGTGTTTACAGCCCCTCTATATTTCGGGATTGCCCATGTACATCATTTTTATGAATTTCGTCTAACTCACCCGGACACCTCCATCCTAGCGGCGCTGCTCAGATCGGTCTTTCAATTTGGCTATACCACTATCTTTGGGTGGTATGCAACTTTCATCTATCTGCGTACAGGATCTCTACCAGCCGTCATCCTCGCTCACACATTCTGCAATTGGTGCGGACTCCCTCGTCTTTGGGGAAGAGTAGATGCCGGGGTCCCGCTTGGACCACCATTAGCCAAAGGCAAAAACGATACAGATCGAGGGCTAGTTTACGCGTATAACAAACTCAGCATTGGCTGGACCATCGCGTACTACGCAATTCTCGTTGGAGGGGCCACTGGCTTCTATTATGCTCTATGGCCTCTAACGGACTCTTCCAGCTCTTTGGTTGCATTTGCAGGGCCGTAAGAAGAGAAGATATGGGGTCATAGTCGGGTAATGTATGTGGCTATGCGATGTAAATGTGACGATCTGTATATGTAATTTTTTATTGAACTATTCAATATCTCGAAGTCGTCATGGCAAGCTTCATGCGGCATCAAGATTTTTCTCTTCTCCTTCTGCCTTTTTGTGGCCCCAAAAGATGGTTTCTATATATTGTACCTCATACACGTAAATATGTTGATGTTGTTCGAGTCATATTTCAGACCACTTGATTGATAGTACCTACATCGAATTCCCGTTTATCTCCGACACGGCCTCGGAAATTCGGGGATTTATCCCTTCTCGACACAAGCTCAAAATTTCAAAGACAGCGACCGCATTAGCAGACCAACCTAGACATATAAAGGGCTGTAGAAGGTGTGCGATTTCGGGAAATCCCTAGCATATCACCAGGTCGAGGTACAGTCAAAATAATTTTGTCAATCATGACGTTGCGCCCCGTGCTCTGCCGCTTAACCAGCAGGACACCAACCGCCCGCTTTCTCTCCACTACCGCATGCTACGCAAGTTCCCTGCGAGTTCCTCTAGACATCCCTCCACCATTTCCAGTGACTAAATCCTGCCCGGAGCCCAGTTGCTCATGCCCTACAACACCGTCGATGCCCGATGGGCTCCCGATTGATTATAACCAGCCGCTGAATGGGACAATGGCAGCCTACGCGCAGCAAATCCTCATCTGCACTGGGCAAAGAGATTGGACAAGTCGTATCGAAGATGACGGGAAACATCATGCCTGGGGCCACCTAGTGAGAGGTTTGAAGCGTCTCTTGGGTCGTGGAGGACGCTATGCTGACGTAGGTAGCAGCCTGGGGTCCAGCTATATCTGCGGTGGGCACATTGCTAACAGATGAAGCCTTTCAACAACATTCTTGTTAGCAACTCTTCCTTCTCTCCATCCGGTGCTTCTACTAGTACCCCTTCCACCGCGTCTGCATTTCTCTTTCCCAGCTTCAAATATTTCCCATCCATTCCGACCGAGATACTAGACTCCACGGACGCAGGGACTGACTTGTCTACCTTTGTACAAGCCTTCCTTCTCCCCAAAAAGCTTAGTGCTATGTCCGAATCTCTTCCTGAAGCTAGAAAGGCTGAGTTAACTCGGAAGCTGGAGCTAGAATCCGAATTTACGGATGCTGTGGACCTATGCCACTCTCCTGTCATCCTTATCTGCGGCCACGGTGGGCGTGACATGCGGTGCGGTGTAATGGCGCCGGTGCTGGAGAACGAATTTCGGAGGGTACTTGGTGATAAAGGGTTCGCACTGGCGGGCAATGATGATCACACAATTGATAGCCCTGGGCATGCTCACGTGGGCTTGATTAGCCATGTAGGTGGCCACAAGTATGCGGGCAATGTGATCGTATACATCCCTCCGGGTATAACGATGAAGGGTTCTTCCTCACCGCATCCTCTAGCTGGCAAGGGAATTTGGTACGGCCGTATAGAACCTAGGCATGTGCAGGGAGTTGTGGAAGAGACTATCCTAGGGGGAAACGTGGTGGCAGACCATTTTCGGGGTGGCATTGATCGAAGTGGAGATATTCTACGATTGTAGTGCCTTCCCCCGCTCCCTGGGCATTGAGTTTGGGCGTCTCATTGTATTATACTCGCCACAGTATATCAACTTTATCTAATTTCAACACTGTCCAACGTTACTACCAAATATTTCAGGCAGCTATGTTATTAGTCGTGGTCAGGCAAGAACAGGCTTGCAGCTGACCTTACAAGTTACGGGAGATTCAACCGCTCTATTAGCTTTCCTCAGCTTATGCCACTGGACCATCCTGGCTTTCTGGTAATATTATTAATACCTTTTGGACGGGTGGCTAATTCAAATCATAACTTGGGTATTTTTACTCTGTCCCGATTTGGTCGTGGAGTGGAGGTGCTTGTGTGTGGGATGAATTTACGAACTTGTGTGGAAGATATATATCCTTCAGGATTCGTTCTACGTAGGTATCATTGAAAAGCAAAGCTTTTTATGAGTCCATAAGACATAAAAGCGGTCGAATATCGTATGAATATTTTGAACTACGCATTACTAAATTTGGATTAACAGTGCATGCTACCCAGAGAAAGAATTGGTAGCCATATTTTCAGGAGCTGAACTCGAGCGACAACCATGTGTGTTTCTATTGATATTGATTGCCTTCCGATTTCTGACCGTGATGTAATGTGGCGGGGATGAGCCACGATTGTAGTTTACAAATGTACGGGATCTACCCTAATGCCTCTCCCTTCTGTAGATCAACATCGTCTGAGATAACCTCTATGATATAAATAGGCTCCAAGCTCCTGCAGGGGAAGCTGTCGAATCTTATGTATGTACTATGTTGTAGAGTGTCACTCGCGGCGGACACTAACCATATCTAGCAAATAAATAGAGCCAAAAGACGCTAGTCTGTATTGGGATTAGGGTACACCGACTGCCGTATGACCTCAACTGGGTAGATCTGCTTGTCGTTGGTATCCCAGCGACTCAATTGCATCATTTTCGAAATAACCTCCCCCATGGCACAATGACGAGATAGTCACTATGCTGTCTCTTTCTCGCGTACGATTGGATCCGACTAGGACGTTCCTAGCACAAGCACGATGGAAGCACGGGTGTCGTTTACCTTCAATCCCTACCTCAACCCGTTTCGCAACGCTCGTAACACCAAAAGCTAATATCGGAAAACTTGACCTACCCGCAATTGACCGAAAATGGCAAGAAAAATGGCATTCTGAGAAGTCGAACCAACCATCCATCGCCTCCAAGACGAAAGGCAACACGGAGAAGCCCAAGTCTTATATTCTGTCCATGTTTCCTTATCCGTCAGGAACACTACACATGGGACACTTACGTGTGTATACAATATCTGATGTGCTTGCGCGGTTCTATCGCATGCGCGGTCATGAAGTTCTCCATCCCATGGGGTGGGATGCTTTTGGGTTACCAGCGGAGAATGCGGCGATAGAGCGGGGAATTGATCCGGCAGAATGGACGAAGGATAATATTGCTAGGATGAAGGAGCAACTGCGGAGTATATCTGCTTCCTTTGACTGGGACCGAGTGAGCCAAAAACATGATGCTTCGTGTCTAGTATTATGCTAACATGTTGCTGTTGTAATACGTTAGGAACTTGCGACGTGTGCACCAGAGTTTTATGAACATACACAACGAATATTTTTGATGCTCTATAAAAAAGGGTTAGCATATCAGGCGGAAGCTTTGGTCAATTATGATCCTGTGGATAAAACGGTTCTAGCAAACGAACAGGTACACATTGCGACTGGCGTTTTACGTTGGCCCGATACTAACTGTGTGGTTAGGTCGATGCCAATGGCTTCTCGTGGCGGTCCGGAGCAAAGGTCGAAAAGTTGAACCTAAAGCAGTGGTTCTTCCGTATAACTGACTTCAAGGAAGCTCTTTTGAATGACCTGGATTCCTTAGCCGGTGGCTGGCCGGAGCGGGTGCTGTCCATGCAGCGCAACTGGCTTGGAAAGTCTTACGGCGCGAAAGTCAAATTCCCTGTTGCAGCAGAGGGAATCGAACGCGGGAGTACGGACATAAATGTCTTCACAACGCGGCCAGATACGCTCTACGGAGTAGAATATCTTGCTTTATCTCTAAACCACCCCATCGTTTTAGCAGCTGCGGAGACAGATTCAAAGCTGCGTAAGTTTTTGGATGAGGCGGCCTCCCTCCCCCCTGACTCCAAGACTGGGTATAAATTGTCTACCGTGACTGCCTCTCATCCATTACATATCATTGATAAGGAGAGCCCTCACATCGCTCGTCAGCTTCCTATATTTGCAGCTCCCTATGTTCTTAGCGACTACGGAGAGGGAGCAGTAATGGGAGTTCCAGGTCACGATTCTAGAGACCTGGCATTTTTCAAAGAGAATTTTCAACCTGAGTCCATATCTGTTGTGATCGAACCCCAGCGTGCATCCGAGGCTGAGTCCGGGGCTAGCGCCGGCCATCTCCCTGCCGGTGACGTGAAAGCTTATACTCAGGAGGGTTTTCTTAACTCGAGATGCTGGAAATACCAAGGCCTTCATTCTCGCGAAGCAGGTCAACAAATAATCAATGACCTCAAGGCCGTAGGCCATGGAAACACTGTGGAGCAATGGAGACTGAGAGACTGGTTGATCAGCAGACAGCGCTATTGGGGCGCCCCGATTCCTATCATTCACTGCGGAGATTGTGGCCCCGTGCCCGTGCCGGAAGACCAGCTCCCAGTCAAGCTGCCTAAGATAGAAGGGGACTGGCTAAAAGGGAAGAGAGGGAATCCTCTGGAGTCGTCGGATGAGTGGGTCCGTACTGAATGTCCGAGGTGTCAAGGTCCTGCGAAGCGGGATACGGATACCATGGATACCTTTGTCGATTCCTCATGGTACTTTCTCAGATTTCTGGATAGCGCCAATAGACGACAGCCGTTTTCACCGTTGTCGGCGCGACCAGTTGATATTTATATTGGCGGTGTCGAGCACGCGATCTTGCACCTACTCTACGCCCGATTCATCTACAAATTCCTTGCCAGGTCCGACTTGTTCCCAGAGATTGCTCATGTAGGTGATGTTCCGGGGCTATCGGAGCCTTTCAAGACACTCCTTTCCCAAGGTATGGTTCATGGGAAGACGTACTCGGAACCTTCTACGGGAAGATTCCTCCACCCTTCTGAACTGGACCTTTCTAGCCCCGATAAACCGGTCATCAAGGGTACTCAGATCACTCCTAATGTGTCCTTTGAAAAAATGTCAAAGAGCAAGCACAATGGCGTGGACCCAACAGCGTGCGCCCTTAAGTACGGCGCTGATGCCACTCGCGCCCACGTGCTGTTCTCCGCACCTGTCAGTGAAGTCCTTGAATGGGATGAAGCAAAGATTGTGGGAGTCGAACGCTGGTTTGGCCGAGTTTGGAAGCTTGTGCAGGATGCGCAACAGACACTTGTTTCATCGTCATACACGCTCAATCCAGATGAACTGACGCTGTCCAATCACGCTACAGCCCTTCCCCACTCTCTGCAGAATCTCAGAGACAATGACGCAGATGCTGTTCTCTTTACCCATAGAACCATTTTGTCCGTGACAAGTTGCATAGAACATAACCCTTATGGGTTGAATACCGTTATCTCTGACCTGACCAAATTAACCAATTCGTTGTCCTCATCAACACCATCGTCCCCACAGGTGCTCTACTTGTGTATATCCTCACTACTTCGTCTTCTCGCACCTATTGCTCCAGCTCTGGCTTCTGAGAGTTGGGAAATTCTCAACGAACCGATAATTGGCCGCTACCCGAAGAATGAAACCATAGAGAATGCATATGACGTGCCGCCAATTTTCGACTGTCCTTGGCCAACAGCCCTCCTGACCTCAGAGCAGGCGGATGCATTGTCAGCGCGGGGTGGACAGACCGTGGCAGTTCAAATCAATGGCAAGTTGCGGTTCACCGTCACAGTCCCACGACAGCTGTCGCCCACGACGAATGAATCAAGTGAGCAGGATTTTATAATCAATCGTATCCTGGAAACCGACGAAGGGCGTACTTGGCTGCGTGAGAAGAATGACTGGGAAAAACGGAGGCGCGTAATTGTCGTCAAGGGGGGTAAATTGGTTAGTATTGTATTCTAAATTGGAGTTATGCCCGTTATCTTGCCAGGGTTCGCAATCGGCATGACCGAGTAGCTATAGACAAGTGTATAATAGAACTTAACACACATCACTCTATGCTTGAGTGGCCATGAATTATTTGGATAATTGTCGCACTTAGACGAACGAGCGTCGAACATCTGGACCAGCGATGTGAAAGGTATTTGGGGTAGGCGGGCATGACTCGTGCCGAAATATTGCCGTAACTGGATTTTTCTCTTTCCTTTCTTCCCAGGCCTTTCTCCCCCCCCCACCTTTTCTTTACCCCTTATCTCTCTCTCTCCCCAATTTTTTTTTCTCTCCCTTTCCTTCCCAGTTAATCCCAGCCCCCAACTGGACTTACTCCCTCATGGGAGAATTGGGGTCAAAGGCGCTTGTCCGCCCGTTGCATGATGTGGCCGGAATACGGTGGTACGAGCTGAGAACAGTGGAGACTCGAATGGAGCTTCCCCTCATAACAAACGATGGCTGTCAAGTTCGATACCCCGGACTGGCGGGTCTCAATGCCGAAGGCTTCCACATTCGGGATCGAAATTGTACTATACAAACCGGTAGAAGTACGGTCGATTCTCGGGCCTAGAGCATCGCCGGGTCTGCGGTTCTTGTAGTTGCGATTATCGGATCTTGTCGATGCGGAGCAATGTGATCTCGCCAAGCATAACACACAGCCAAAGCAAGCTTTCTGGTTACAGTAAACTGAGGGGGGCTTTGAGAATCTAAGTAATGTGGATCACCGAAGAGATGAATGACACCACTTGTTTCAATCCAGATCCACTGGACTATTTCAAGGAAATTGAAGCCGTTCATCAACCATTATCGGCAATAAAATGAGGGGAAGTGCCCCTCACCATATTCATTAGCAAGGTTAGGTACGGAATAGGTCCTATGGTACTCCGTACTAGATAGGTAACTGGGTCCATAGGTAAGGTACGTACTAGTCCTTAGTAGCATATCTAATACTGTACTTACTTACTACTACTACTACTAGTAGTCCGTACTAGTAGGAGGAATACCAACATACTCGGTAGTACATACACTTGCATATTGACCAATAGGACGAACCAACCCCTCATGAGGGGTAGAAAGCTACCCCGATCAGGAATAGTACGAGTGGTATCGGGTGCTAACTCCGAGTACCAACAATGTACTAAGTTGGAGGTACCTGTGTATGTATGTATGTTATGTACCAGTCTTTAGATGTAACAGACCTTAGTACTACTACCGTACTTGAACCCCGCATTGTTTACCTGGCTTTTTGTCTGTCCAACGCTTTGGAGTTTAGGGTAGACTAGACTATGTTACATGGGCATTGTTTTACAACCATTTTTGATACTGTCCGATTTGAAACCCCCCTTTCTTGTCAATCTGCTGATGGGATCCAAACTTTGACTAATGAATGATGTTCAATGTCCGCTCACCATTTTGAGGGAGTCCCGCGTGCGGAGAAGATTGCGCTCCTCGTTCCACTTGTTCTCTTCCACACCCTCCCATACGCATAATTATACGAGGTGCCGTGGTGTCCGCCACGATCTACTGGCGGTGGGGTCGTAATCCCATCCTTGCTTCTAATCCATGAATGGGTGGACAAAGGAAAGAAAAGATGAGGAGGGGAAGAAGGGAGGGGTCCCGTCCCAGATGGAATGCTACTCAAATGTAGGCGGGGAAATCCATCCTATACTATATATTTAGGCGTAATTCCCCTTCATTCCATTTTATCAACAAACAGAATCTATCAAGCCTGGATTTGGTAAGTATACCTCCCCAAGTTCTCGATCCCGACCCAAACTCGTACGTTCCATGGCATGTTCCACATTATGCTTCCTGTATCAGTTCCTGCTTCACTTCATTCGATTTCTCCAACTTAAATCATCATAGTCATTGACGAAATGATCTCTGGGGATCGGTTTTATATAGCCCGCTGACCATCTGATTGTAGCATCCATCTTCATTTCCATCGAGATCATTATTGTGGTACAATCAATTGAACACAATTCAAAATGGTATTTATCCGTCCTTTCTCTATTGCTGGTGCGCGGACACTGACCGAGTTTACAGGGTAAAATTCTTATGGTCCTCTATGACGTAGGTCCTCCATCGAAAGTGTATCAGAGAGCCATGACATCGATAGCTGATCGCGAACCTTGATTCTAGGGCGGCGAGCACGCCAAGCAACAGCCTGGTCTCTTGGGTACCACCGAGAACGAGCTCGGATTGAGGAAGTGGTTAGAGGAACAAGGCCACACTCTCGTCACCACCTCTGATAAGGAGGGCGAGAACTCGACCTTCGATAAGGAACTCGTGGACGCCGAAGTCATCATCACCACACCGTTCGTGAACCCCGATGCCCCACAAGGATCTCTGTTTTGAACCATCGGCTAATCAATGTTGTAGCTTCCACCCTGGCTATCTCACCGCTGAGCGCCTGGCGAAGGCCAAGAACCTCAAGATCGCAGTCACTGCTGGTGTCGGATCGGATCACGTTGATCTGAACGCTGCCAACAAGACTAATGGCGGTATCACTGTCGCTGAGGTGACTGGCTGTAATGTCACCTCCGTCGCGGAACACGTTGTCATGACCATCCTTACCCTGGTCCGTAACTTTGTCCCCGCTCACGAGCAGATCACCCGTGGTGAGTGGGACGTTGCCGCTGTCGCTAAGAACGAATTCGATTTGGAGGGTAAGGTTGTCGGAACCGTTGCTGTCGGCCGTATTGGCGAGCGTGTCCTTCGTCGCCTTAAGCCATTTGACTGCAAGGAGCTTCTCTACTACGACTACCAGCCCCTTAGCCCCGAGGTTGAGAAGGAAATCGGCTGTCGTCGTGTTGACACCCTCGAGGAGATGCTTGCTCAGTGTGATGTTGTTACCATCAACTGTCCCCTGCACGAGAAGACCCGTGGCTTGTTCAACAAGGATTTGATTTCCAAGATGAAGAAGGGTAAGTAGTACAGTGGCGCACTTTCAATTGAGGCTTCCTGGATATTGACTAACCTCTTACCAAGGCTCGTGGCTCGTTAACACTGCCCGTGGTGCCATTGTCGTCAAGGAGGATGTTGCTGAGGCTGTCAAGTCTGGCCACTTGAGAGGCTACGGCGGTGATGTCTGGTATCCCCAGCCCGCCCCTAAGGACCACCCACTCCGCTACGTCGAGGGCCCTTGGGGTGGTGGTAACGCCATGGTTCCTCACATGTCTGGTACCTCGATCGATGCGCAGATCCGTTACGCTCAAGGCACCAAAGCTATTCTCGAGAGCTACTTCTCTGGCCGTCATGACTACAGAGACCAGGATCTCATTGTTCACGGCGGTGATTACGTTACTAAGGCCTATGGCCAGAGGAACAAGGCTTAGGTCTTTCCAATCATTTTGGAATGAATGGGTTATAATGATTTCTTGGCGCATGCTTTTGATCTGAATAGCCCTTCAAGGAGCAGGGCGATGTTTACTTATGATACCTAAAATTTATATTATATTGTTCTTACCTGTTATTGGCATGAAAAATATCTGATAAATCACTAAGGTTTCTGCTGCAGAATCGCGTAATAGGGAGTGAAAGTCTTGTCTGACCCGCCTACCGACGGAGTATGTTGACATACTAGTAGTACATCCATACGGAGTACGTCTTGCACATACTTTGTTGATCCTTGTGGAGACTGCAGATCAACTGAAGCTTGATTTAACCAACCAGAGCCCAGGACAATTACTTACCGCTGCTGTACCTTGTACTAATAGTACCGGTAATCCGTACATATCAAAGCTAAGGCACCTACTGTGTAATACCCATGAAAAGTGTGCACTGGATTTCGGTAGGGAACTGTAAACCGTGGAGTTTACCCACTTTTGTTAGAAGCTGGATATATCGGCTGGTAACGCATGTACTCTACCAACTATTCCGCCGGTGGGTGTTCGGAACCGCCACTGATATATCCAATGATGACTAGTAGCACAATTGGCCATAGCTTGTAATGACCATAGGCTTGGATGGATAAGAATGGCCTGAGAGTGTCTTGAAGTGTATTTCTATTCTCTTCGCTCACTATATAGTATCAGTGGTACCTACTACATATTATGGGCCACCGATGCTATGGCGCGGCGTTAATGGAATGAATGGCCTTATCTCAAGTTGTATTGCGATTGACGTTCCCTTGGCAGGGCATACCGAATACTACTTTCCGCTAGGTCCGGGAAGTGTCGTCTACAAGGCTAGCTTACGGCCTGGAATCAGATTGTCACGAAATACAGAAAGGGTACGTTGGAGATGATAGTTGGTGCAGCGGACGTGGTCGCAGGTATTGCTCTTGTTTAAACCGTTCCAGACGCCATACGGACCTGTAAATGTCTACGAAAGAATTATCAATGCCCTCTTGAACCTTGTCGACCATCTCCCTCTTCATCACTGTCGTCCATAAACCCTTCTTCTAGCTCACGACTGAGTCGACTTTCTGCTTCGGCAACAGTACTGCGCCGTCGTTCCAGGGCCTCCCTTCGTGCAGGATCCATATCCATCCCGACCATGATCTCTCCTTCTTCGTCAAAGATACTAATGTTATCGTGTTGGTCGTCAAACCGTGCTTGTTGTCGCCATGCTGCCGGTAGGAATAGACGCATCATTGCATCAGCGATACGGTCCCGTAGTGTAGAAGTATGTGCAGAGATGGTGTGTAAGGGAAGATATTGTGAATATCGTTGGTGATAGCGACGGAAGAAAGGGATTATAAGGAACGACAAGAGAAGGTAGAGCGCCAGGGAGATGGCAGCTGGGATGACAATGGTCTAGACGATAGTGATGGATTTAGATGAGCGCATCTTATCACAAATTGATGAGAAGCGAAAATACCTTGGCGAAGCTTGATGCTGAGCCCATTTCGACTGCTTTGCCGGAGCTTAGTTCCACCAGTTGCGACGGTATGGGCTATGCTACCAAGGCTGGCTTGTGAGGTGCAATGATAGGCAGTGGTATGATTAATATGGGAACTTCATAATCATGGTCTGCATAATAAGTTATATCTCCAAGTATTGGTAATATATCTCGTATATTGACTACCGATTGAAACTATCGATGCAGCCTGCTATAAGAAGATAAGGATCCGGATAGCGTACGGAGTACTCCGTACATATGCCGTCTCTCTTAGGCCACCTCTTTCTCCGAATGCAACGCACGTGACACGGAGACACAGGCCACTATAGATCACGTGTAAATGCGGCCCCTATCGCGTTCTAGAGCCCGCATTCCCCCTAATGCCCGTGCTTCAGCCCCGACATGCGAAGAGACACCGACAAATAGGGTCTGGACGTGGAAAAGACCCCCTAGAAGGCTAGGCTTGCTAGAGTTGATAGGATCGCCACTTTTTGCTGCGGTCTGTTCAAGTTGCTGTGGGTTTCAAAGAGAAAAGACTTCGTGTATCTGGCCCCTCTCTTTTCTACCGCTGCTCCGCAGCGGGTATTAACTACTAGTTCCAGCCAGAAGTGCGAGGAACCGTATATCCATTTGAACCTGATATTACCCTTGCTATCTCATAGGCTGGGAGCGGTAGGTGCTGTTAATAATCCGGAAGGATCTTTCTAGCGACCAACGGAAGTCTTTGTGTGCTGTGAGCAACGCTCATGCTGCGCCCTGCTCTTTCCCAGCGACGTCCGACAAAATGCCAACCACCACGTCCTCACCTGATAAATCAAGACAAACCTCGGCTGGCAAATCGTTCTTTGGGAGGAAGCTGCATAAGGAAAAGCCAGTAGAGGATCGATATGACGGGGGCGGATCATTCGAAAACCTGGCGCCTCCCGGAAGTTCAGCTGGCTCTCGGTCGTCTCGACATTCCAAAAGATCATCTGTTCAGTCTGTAGATTATCCACATGATATTGACCCATCCGGACTGTCAATGACTGCCGGTGTCATCACGTCGATCCCTTTCGAAAGTCTCCCCGCCGATACCAAGACGCCCATTTCAATCGAGTACCTATCTAAGCCCGAGCCATCGCGAAAAGAGCAAACGTCCAATCATCCGTCACCCAATCACTTGGCCAAAGGGGCCAGTGACTTCCATCAATACCCTGCGTGGAACCCTTCTTCCGTCCGAGATAACAATACATATTCACATCCTACTGGTCCTCGTCCACCACCGCATGCCTCGAATTTAACAATGACTGGAAGTAATACGGGGGATAAAGGTGCCCGGTACCAACAATGGGGGCGACCAGGAAGTTCTGCCGCCAATACCGGATTCAGTCACAACTCTTCTTCGACGGTTGACTCATCTAATTCACGTATATCTTTTGACCAGGCTAGCGTCCATTCCTCGCTTTCTTCGAACACCCGCGGTTCTAGCTATTTCTCGTCTGATGGATCATCGCGTACGCTTACGAACCATTCGGCTGATCGAAGTACCTATTTCCCGGGTGGGAACCCAAACCGACTTTCGACTCAGTCGAATTGGCAGCCACCGCCAGCTGCACAGCCGAGGCCTCCCCCAATTAACGCAGAACAATACCTCGCTCGACCGAGGGATGATCGTGTTGTCGACCAGTTATTCCTGGAATTGATGCAGAAGCGAGGCTGGCAGAACCTCCCGGAACAGGCGAAGAGACAGATGCTCGCATATCCGGCTTCTAAGAAGTGGACACTTGTGCACCAAGACAGGCTGACAGAACTGCAAGGGGAACAAAAGCGCAGGCAGAATGCGCGACAGACACACGGTCATGACGGCCCAACTGGTATTCTTGAGCGAGCGGATGAGGAGGGAAGCCCAGAGTGGTACGTCAAGAAGGTCCTGGATGACTCTATCACATCGAAGCAGCTGGCTAGCTTAAGTGTCAGCCTGAGGACACAACCAATTAGCTGGGTGAAAGCCTTTGTCGAGGCACAGGGTCAAATAGCTCTTACGAGCGTCCTCGCGAAGATCAACCGCCGCAAAGCTTCAGGTCCTGTCCCGGCCCCTCCAACTGGTGATAAGGATTTAGACCGCGAATATGATATCGTCAAGTGTCTGAAAGCCTTGATGAACAACAAGTATGGTGCGGATGATGCTCTAGCTCACCAGCAGGTCATTATAGCTCTTGTGAGCTCGTTGCTCTCTCCTCGGCTTAATACTAGGAAACTAGTCAGTGAAGTCCTGACCTTCCTATGCCACTGGGCTGAAGGACACGGCCACCAGAAGGTCCTTCAAGCCATGGATCATGTCAAGAATCATCAAGGCGAAACCGGGCGTTTCGATGCCTGGATGCGGATAGTTGAAGTAACAATCGATGGTCGTGGGAAAATGGGTAGTCTAGTAGGTGCGAGCGAAGAATATCGCAGCGGTGGCATCGGAATGGAAAACCTTCTTATGGAGTATGCCGTTTCCACCATGCTTCTCATTAATATGTTGGTGGATGCGGGGGAGAATGACTTGCAATTGCGATGCCATATCCGGGCCCAGTTCATCTCTTGTGGAATCAAACGCCTTTTGACAAAGATGGAGGGCTTTCAGTACGAGGTCATCGACAAGCAGATAGAGCGTTTCCGGGAGAATGAGGCCATTGACTACGAAGATCTTCTGCAGCGGGAGAGCAGCAGTATGAAAGACAGCATCGAGGGCGAAGTGAAGGATATGAGTGACCCGCTGCAAATTACCGACGCCATTGCAACTAAAATCCAGGGGACCCGAGCTCACGATTATTTCCTCTCTGCTATGCAACATCTACTCCTAATTCGCGAGAACTCTGGTGAAGATGGGTTACGCATGTATCAGCTTGTAGATGCTATGCTTAGTTACGTTGCTATGGATCGGAGACTTCCTGATCTTGATCTCCGACAGGGCTTGACTTTTACCGTACAGAGTCTTCTAGATCGGCTTCATACAGATGCAGAAGCGAGACGGGTATATGATGAATCTCTAGAGGCCCGTCAAATTGCGGAGGCTGCAATCGCTGAACGAGATGAGATGAAGGCACAGATTGAGCTAGGCGCGGATGGCTTGGTTAAGAAACTACAGAAACAGATCGATGAGCAAACAGGCATAATCGAGCTTCAGTCGAGGCAAAACGAAATGATTAAAGCTGAGGTCGCCGACCTCCAAAGGCTTCGGGCTCAAGAGCTCCAGCGCAATGAGTTGGAGACCCGCGAGCTTTATTTGATGCTTCGAGATGCTCAGGATATAGCTGCATCAAATGCTAAGAAGAACAACATGGCTGAGACAGATCCTTCGCATATGAGAGGTATCTTAGATCGTGAAAAACTTTTGGAGAGGTTGGAAATGCAACTCGAAAGGACGAAAACACAGTTCAAGCTAGAAGGCAAAGTCTGGGGGCAACATGGCCCCTCGGACCGGCTACGCGAGTTACGGGAGCAAATGGATGGTGAACCTGAAACCAGCGATGACTTCCAGGAACATGCGCGTCGAAATTTAGATAGCAACGCCCTAGGATCTGTTTATCGAAAAAGGAGCCTTGTTCCGGGAGGAGATGATGCTGCTGGTGAGGGTCTGGGGCAGACTAACGATGAAGATGGTGGAATTATGTATGAGAAAGCACGTCTTGTGGACATCCAGCGACCTCGGATGAACCCTGCTCAGGCCACTGGCCTTCTCGGCGAGATTGCGGCGAAGGTACCTAAGATTGACGCTGAGGAGGGCGAAACGAAGGCGGCTGCTGACGGATCGCCTTTCCCTGAATCAGAGACCCCGGCCATCAGAGTGGACGAGCCGAAAGGGGAGAGCAAGGATAAAAATGTTGATTCAGCTGCTGTTGCTGGCCCTCACCCTCCCCCGCCACCTCCTCCACCCCCAGCTCCAGGGACGGGGGCAGGTGTCCCCCCTCCTCCGCCGCCTCCCCCTCCCCCAGGCTCTGCAACGGGTGTGCCTCCTCCTCCTCCGCCGCCACCACCACCTCCACCCCCAGGGATGGGGACAGGGATTCCCCCTCCGCCTCCTCCCCCACCCGCTCCTGGTGCCGCTGGCAAAATGCCCCCACCTCCGCCTCCTCCACCCCCTGGCGCCTCATTTGGCGCTCCCCCCCCTCCTCCTCCACCGCCCCCTGGCGCTTCATTTGGCGCTCCTCCTCCTCCTCCACCCCCTGGCGCTTCATTTGGCGCTCCTCCGCCACCACCCCCCCCTGGTGCCTCAGTTGGAGGATGGAGAGCGAATTACATGGCTTCCCAGGCCGTTCCCTCCAAATCAGCGGTACTTTTGCCATCAATTAGGCCTAAGAAGAAGCTCAAAGCACTTCATTGGGAAAAGGTTGATGCACCTCAGGTGACTGTATGGGCATCTCATGCACTAACTCCCCAAGCGAAGGAGGAGAAGTATACCGAACTTGCCAAAAAGGGTGTATTGGATGAAGTTGAGAGGTTATTCATGGCGAAAGAGACCAAGGTTTTTGGAGGCAGTGCGGCAGCCAAGCAGCGCAAAGACAAGAAGCAACTTATCTCTAATGAATTGTCAAAGAATTTGCAGATTGCCATGGCAAAATTCTCCCAATACCCTGCAGATGACGTTGTGCGGATGGTTATTCACTGTGATGCGGATATCCTTGACAACCAGGTTGTCATGGATTTCCTACAACGTGATGAACTGTGCACAATACCCGAAAACATATCCAAGCAGATGGCACCTTATAGCAGGGATTGGACAGGTCCGAATGCTGCTAGCTCTGAGCGGGAACAAGATCCGGCTGAGCTTACGCGTGAAGATCAAATTTATCTATATACTGCTTTCGAACTGAACCACTATTGGAAGGCGAGAATGCGTGCCCTTGCATTGACCCGCTCCTACGAGCCAGACTACGAACATATATCCGCTAAGCTTCAGCAAGTTGTGAAAGTGAGCGAATCGCTGAGGGATTCAGTCGCTCTGATGAATGTGCTTGGCCTGATCCTAGACATAGGAAATTTCATGAACGATGCTAATAAGCAAGCTCAAGGTTTCAAGCTGAGCTCTCTCGCTCGGTTGGGTATGGTAAAGGATGACAAGAATGAAACCACCTTTGCAGATCTTGTCGAGCGGATTGTTCGCAATCAGTACCCAGAATGGGAAGGGTTCGTTGATGACATCAATGGTGTCGTCGCCCTGCAGAAACTTAATGTCGATCAGTTGCGAACAGATGCTAAGAAGTACATTGACAATATT